CGAGACAATAACGCAAACGCGGAGTTTTGTGTCTCTTTGGCCTCTTCAAACAAAGCATATCTGGTTCCGCTTCGCCTCCCCAGACGCTAAACATACATTTGATTTTTCTAAAGTGTGTAGTAGCTTCGTAATAATATATCACAATTATCGTTTCGAACCTCTGGACTTGGACTACGTGCCGTTTCTATATAACGAACCGACACACAGTTGTTTAAACGCCACGTCATCATCTCCAATCAAGGCGGACTTCTCGGGGTCCGGCGACGAGTTCACTCGGCTTCCGGAAAGACACGATGTGGCTTCCGGCCATAAACGCCGTGACTCGCTCGGAGACTCGGATATCTTCCATCTTCAGCTCCTGAAGACGCCGCACGTACTCCGGCACGTGTAAAAGATCCCAAACCACGCACAAACCTCCAGGCTTCACCACTCTCACTATCTCCCCAAGCACCCTCATCCTCTCCGCCGCCGCTTCCACCGACTTCTGACCGTGCTCTTTCCCCACCGTGTGAACGAACACCGATGAGACCACCACGTCGAAGTAGTTATCCCCGAACGGTAACGTCCTCACATCTCCTTCCCTACAAGTCACATACTCTTGCACACCTGCGCGATTCAATAGCACAAACAATCAAAATCTTTGATTCAATTGCGCAATCGCGGAATGGGAAAACGCTAATAATTGAATCGATTAGAGAGGAATTGGGGGAAATTGATTTTTAGAGTAACCTTCGAGTTTCGCGGTGCGGAGAGTTGAGAGAGTGGTGCGTTTGGAGCGATCTAACCCGACGACCCGACCCGAGCTACCGGTTTTTTTTAGCTGAGTAGCGACGGCATTGAGGAGGATGCCGCGACCGCAGCCGAGATCGAGCGCCGTCTTGACACAAGACCAGTCACCGACGGAGCTAACCATGCGTTGAGCCATCTCGTACTGTAGCGGAACGTCGGAGTAGACGAAATTAGCGGCGGCGAAGAGGAGACAAACCGCTGAGAGAGCGGTGACGGCGCCGGTGAAACCCGCGGCTAACCTGGAGGCGCCGGAGAGGAAGAAGGAGTCGAGGAAGAAGCAAATCTGATCGAAGTAGATGAGGAAGAGAACTGAGAGTAAGGAGAAGAAAAAGGCATGGAAGAGAAGGAAGATGAGTGTCTGCCATTGTTCAATCCCGTATATCGCGTAGATCTGAGTCCAATCTCTGTTCCCGGCGGTTTTGCCCATTCCGATATGTTTCTCGCAAAAATTTCCAGATTCCGATCACTAAATCTGAAGCAACAAAACAAGAAGAACCGATCTATCAGCTCAGTCACATTTGAAATTCCCAAAAACGAAACTATATATACTAAAACAAAGTAGCAAGTACCAGAAGCAGTAGATCTCGGTAGTTTTGAATCTCACTTTCGAATTAGCAATTGCTCTAATCGACACAGATCAAGATTGATAAAGAAGAAGGTAAGTGGAAGAGCATCGTCAGAGGATCATGGTGAGGGAGTGAACTTATGAAGAAGAAAGGAAAAATGGCGAAGAAAAGAGAATTACGAAAAGGGGATATTTCCAACTTTTTGGTCTCAACATTTTCACGCGCTTTCTTTTTTTCACTCTATGCTTGTCGGTTTCTGCATTTTCAAACCACTTGATTTTTGGTTTCTCATCCTTTTGAATATAAAAACCCGCAAAGTCGCTGGATTTTTAAGTTTGGAGG